GTGATAGACAAATTGCACATTAGTAACTGTCAGATTTCACTATAGCGACCGAAACCGACGAACTAAGTTTTTGGGTCCAAAATTTATATTTTGGTTCGATTATCCATTTAACATTTAAATATTTGGTTATTTCAGTTCGATGTCAACTTTATTTTCTTAAAAATAACCGAGCCAATCGAACTATATAAAAAATATTATTTTTTTATTTATATATTGTAGGTCTTTACAACCAATAGTAATATAGAATATTAAATAAAACATCAGACTAAACAACATAAAATATTAGACTAATCAATATATTTTTATAATATAAAAATATAAATTATTTTGGTTATTTATGTTAATTCGGTTAACCGATCAAATCAATAGATAATTTCGTGCGGCTTTAGTTTTGGTTGGGGAAATTCATAAGAAGTACATATACTGCGATTGCACTATTGTGTTCGACGAATTGCATATTAATGACTACCAGATTGCACTATATCAGACGAACCCGACCAAACTAAGTTTTTGGGTCCAAATTTTATACTTTGGTTTGATTATCTGTTTTTACTTTTAATATTTTTTTTTATTTCGGTTCGATGTCAGCTTTATTTTTCAAAATAATCGAACCGATCGAACATTATAAAAATATATTATTTTGTTATTAATTTGTTTTAGATCTTTAGAACCAAAAGTAATATAAAATATTAAATAAAATATTAAACTATTAAATGTACTTTTATAATATAAGTTCTAAATTAATTTGATTATTTATATTGGTTCGGTTAACCGATCAAATAAACCGACTATTTCCTTCAATTTTAGTTTGATTTGGGGCAAAACATAAATAATTCATGCACTTCGTCTGCACTATATATAGTGTTATACAAATTGCACATTAATGACTATCGGATTGCACCATAATTCCCGAATCGATCGAACTAAAATTGTCGGTTTAAAATTTTATGATTCGATTCGAATATTTATTTTTATTTTCAAAATATCGGTTATTTCAGTTTGATGACGGATTTATTTTTAAAATAGCTGAATTATTTTAAATATAAATAAAAATATTAACATCTTAAATATAGTGTGAGTATTTATAAATTTGGCTCATAACCTACTATATTAAATTCTACGAAATTGCAGTGAGATTTATAAAATTTTCAAAACAACCCCCAAAGTTTATCTAATTTATAAGAGTTATCCACCACAAATCAACTTCCCAAGAGCAACTGCAGTGCTGCTCTACAAATGCCACGCTACTCTATTCTGGCGCAAATTCATGCTCCAACGCTGCTCCACATATTTGCGCTACTTCACAGATTGCTACAGTGTTGTGCCACATCTAGCGATTAAATATATATATATATATATACCATTTTATTTGAAATAAAAAATAATATATTTGATGTAGAGAAAAATGTAGAGATAAGGGCTGGAGATGAATGTTTAACTCTACTCTAGAGTAAAGTAAAGTCCGCGCTAGAGTAGAGATAAGGGCTGGAGATGGTCTAAGTCTCAAAATCCCACAAATTCAAAAACGAGATGCCAGCACCAGCGCCAATCCAGATGAACATCTCCGCCATCAAGACGATTTCCGGCGGTACTATCTACAGTATTTGAGACGGACGGCGGCGGAGGAGGAAGCTACGCGGCAGAGGCCGGCGACGACGGGCTGGATTTGGGTCTCAACGACGAGCAGCAAAGCAGCTTTCCATTGAACTGTGTCGACTGCCGGGAACAGCTCCGTCGATGTGGTAGGCGGGTGATGATGCAAGCGCCGCCGACGGGGAAGGTGGTGAATATAGCAGCATCGCACCAGATCCGCCGCCCTGCTCTGGTAGCCGCCGTCGCCGACGCAGTCCACCGCCCAGCGTCACTGCTGCTCCCGCACAGACAGCAACACATCACCACTCAGACCACCGCCATCCTGTCGGACATCTCCGTCATCTATGCACTCCGATGAAAAACCGCCGCCTTGGACACCTGCGCGGCCACCGAAGATTACAAAGACGATGGTCGGTCGCCGAGGACGTCATCTTTCTCTAGGATATCACTGGCGTTTACTGTCTCCGGCGGAGCTCCTAACGTCGGCCGCCGTGTGTGAGTGTGGGTGTGTGTGTTTGTGTGTGTGTGTAGATCTAAAATCGGGTTTGTGAAAAAGGAGTGAAGGTGATGAAAGAGAAAACATTGATAAATTGATGAGTGGGTCCTACATAAATATATGTGTCTGACCAATATACCCTTAATTATTGGTCAAATGCACATATTTGACCACACTATGATCAAATAATTACCAGAATGCTATTAATGATTGACTACTTTTAATTAATTTTGACTTCATCATGACCATTGATGTAGGGGATTCATATATATATATATATATATATATGAATCTTCTTTTTATGTGAGATATACCCAAATCCCCTTTTTATATTTTTTTTAGTATTGTTTCAAATACAAAATTTTTTAAATTTGGTATAGTAAATCGATTTTCTATTTTTTGCATAGATAAAGTATAAATTTGCTAGGCTAAATCTAAATATATATATACATATATATATATATAAATCTACTACATAAAAATTTTTCATACATATAATAGGACAATGGCATAATTAAAAATTGTTCAGGTTGAAAAAATTAACGTGACTTATTTGATTACCAATGTTTTTATATTTTATATCTACTATATAAATCTCTCCCATAAACTTATTTTTTTAGATTGTAATACATATTAATTCACATGTAATATTTTGTATATTTTAAACGTTTTATATATATATATATATATATATATATATAATATTTAAAATATACATATGTGTGTGTGTGTGAGTGTCTGGGTGTGTCTGGGTGTGTGTGAGTGTGTGTGTGTATGTGTGTGTGTGTGTTTAACTTAAGTATTTTTGGACATGTTCAACTTACAAAATAATTTAGAAAAATTTTAGGAGACCTCACATTTTTAAAGAATAATATAGAATATATTAGATAATTTTAAACATTTTATATAATATATTAGGTGTTTTTAATATTTTAAACATACATGTATAATGTTCTTTTACAAAATAAAAGACTGTAAAAATAATAATAAATATTATTTAGCTAATAAAGTATAATCGACATTAAAATGATAAACTAACATCTCATTTTCTAATTGTCAGGTAAATCAACATATTATAAATAGATCATTTTGATCTTAGGTTCTATTCAAGTTCCAGCACCATCAGTTCTTACTTATAGTTTTGTATGCCATTATGATAAAGAAAAGTTAGCGTCAGTATTTATCGTACGTTAACACGTTCTTAGAGAAATCAATTTTTAGTCATGCCAATTGTATGTTGTTGTTTAGCGTGTAAGTAATAATAAATCGGTCGAAAATATTAATTTGTGGAAATGAGGAGTTGCCCAGTAATCAAACTAATAATATTGTGTACAATTAGATTTTTAATAATATATTATTTTTTTTAATGAGAATCAATTTATGATTTGACAATTTCCCTACGTATTATCACTATTTTATTTATTAACACTTCAAATTATAGTATTCCCCAAAATAAATATAGTCCGTGCATTGCACGGGGTACATACTAGTTAAAATAATAATAATAAATAACTAATCTTGGTTCTTATTTAAAATGGTAATCAAGATTAAAACCAAACATTCAATATAAAACTAACAAAATGAATATAGAAAATGGAATTATCATATTTGAAATTATAATTAATTACATTACACATTTAATGAGAGAAAGATACATGAATAAGATAATATAACAAATATAAGAATTTTTCCCATAGAAGGTTAGTAACAATCCTGGTAATTGCTAATTTTTAAGACCACAAAGAAAAGGGGAAATCTATATCTATATCTATATATATAAAAAGGTTGTTGGAAAAATACATTAATAGAAAGTTTGACCAAATAAATATAATGTTTGACTTACTATTAATGGAAAGTTAAAAAAAACACATGCGAATCTTTAGTAACAAAATTTAAATCCTATTTTTTTCAGTAACAAATTTGGAGATTCTTATGGCAAAATTTGAATCCCATTTTTTTCGTATCATATTTTATTATTTTTACCAAAATTTAAATTATATCTTTTTTGGTAACAAATTTGGAGATTCTTATGCAAAAAACGTGTCAATTATTTATGAAAACAATTCTAAATACAAATTAATTTAAAAACCGTGCAAATTGGATACAAATTTAGGAAGCAAATAGTTGTATATTTCTTAATCAATTCTTTCATTCTTATTGAATAATTTTTTATTTCAAAAAAATTGTGTAAATTGGATAAAGCCACGTGCAATTTTTATTTTAAAATAAAACTGATATTTGGACGGAATGTACATTCAAAATTGTGTCCACATTTTTTGTTAACAAAAGCGGTTAATCATTGATATTTAAAGTAACCTTATCCAATTATTTAGGAAAAATTGTGTGCAATTTTTCAAAATTTAAATGCTTCAATTTTTTTGGATTCTTATGTTTTTTCTTAACCATGTTTTACCAAAATTTTG